GAGGTCAGTTGCTTGAAGTCACACAGCTAGTAAGTGGTAGAGCAAAGATTTGACTTCACATCAGACTTCCAAGTCATTTCCTTCCAACTAACTCATTGCTCCTGTGAAGGCTATAGGAACTTCATAGCGAACTCAGAATTACAACCAAGAGTTTGATTCTCAGTCTGTGCACTTTCTACTGTTCCATTTATTTTAAATCCTTCCAGGGAAAGATTCCACATGTCTTTAAGTAATGTGTTTAATTATCTCACCATGGAGGGCTCAATTTTACGTTTACTAGCGATTCACATCCTTCGTGGATCTTATATTCTGTTCTTTGTGCCATATTTCATCACTCTTGAGTTGTAAGATTCCTTACTTAATGGTGATTATTGTTTTTGTTTGCTATATTAATCATATAGTTTTATAAGAAAAGCATTAAGAATCAAGTGGAAAATGGAACAAATACTTGAAGTAGCCGTTTACGTAAGAGGCAATAGCATACCAGCACATGGAATAGACAGCTTTGCAAGAGGTTAAACAAATACAAATAACTGTTAAATTGGTTATTTTTTCCTTTGGCCAGATGACTTTCAGTGCTATGAAGGTTGGGGTACAGTGATTCTCCACTGATGGGAGTGTAAATTGGGGTGATCTCTGCAGAGCATGATGACACACGCATCAGGAAACATGCAAATGAAAGCTCACTCCCTTCATCACTCTACTTTGTTTTATTCTCCTGAAAATTATCCAAAGAACAGAAAAAAATAAAACCTAGATTAATGAGACTATTCATTACCATGGTGTCTATTATGCTTTAAAATTATTCAATACAAATTAAAACAATTTAAATATTAAACTCTAGAGAACTGATTGAACTTATGTTGGCCCACTAGCTGAGCATATAAAACCATTTAAAGTCATCAACAGGAGTGCATGGTATTATGGAAGTATTTGCTGGGACATTTGCTACAAGAAACTAGAATGCAAAATTGCATGGTGGAATGTACTTGTGTAAACTACACTGCATATGAGCAAAGCTGATAGCATGCAAAAAATGTTCTAGTTAGAGGGATTGTAGGTTATTTTTCTCTTCTTCAATGTTTTGTTTAATATTGATACTATATTATTTTTATTATTTGAAAGAATGAGTTAAAATCAAAAGGTAGCCAGTGGTTCACATCTGTACTGCTAGCTACTCAAGGAAGCTGAGTTTTGAAGATCAAGGTTCAAAGCCAGCCCAGGTAGGATGTCTAAGACCCTTACCTCCAATTAACCAGTAGAAAGTGGAACTCTGACTCAAGTAATAAAGTACTAGCCTTGAGCAAAAAAGCTCAAGGACAGTATCCAGGCCCTGAGTCCAAGCCCAGGACTGGTGTACACATGCACACGCGTGTGCACGTGTGCACACACACACTCAAAATGGTGCAGGCAATTTGAGCTCTACACTTAAAATTAAAGAACTGTGTTTTCTTCTTTAGTGTTTATTTTCCCCGCCAAGCTTCAGTTTCTTTATCTACAGAGTGAGCTTAACTAGTATCCCTTACCCCAGAGTGAACAGTATGTTTGCCTTTATAAAGCTTTTAACTCATTGACTACAAGGGTTCATAGAAGTTTGGCCCTGGAGAATGAAAGGCAGGAGGGAGAGGAAAAGATAAATAGGTACTAATTAATTTGAAAGGAAAGTCATCTGCTCTAATGGGAAATTCATATGTTCTGTGCCCCTAGTCAGAGTCGTAAGTGCACTCTGTGTTAGTTAGCAACTTCAATTTAAGGTACTATGTGATCCTTTGGGCTTTGAAGATAGGAGGCTTCCATACATACACATGAGCTAAAATTGCTACCTCAGCATGAAGACGTGTTCACTTTGAATAATTATACATACTCAGTGACTCTAGCTGATGGGTTGATGATGTGTAAGAATAGTGCAAATACCACCTGACAGGACATTTTGAAAGGACAGTTTGATTTCCAAGCTCTTTGTAAGAATGCTTTCTCTTTTAGCTGTGGCAGACAAGCAAAGGAGATTTGATTATCTTGTTTCCTGTGAAAGGTTATTTAGCCCTTCAATCCCATTAAGTCACTTTCTGCACTCCAGTGCACCAACCTTCCCCAGGTTATCAGCCCAGGAAGAGTAAATGGAGACACCAGGATCAGATTTCTAAAGAGAGGAAAGTTAAAGCAAAGTTTGAAAGGGGTGACAGCCAGCAGCCAGGAACTTAGGGACTCAATTAAACTGAAAGACAACTATCTCATTATCTTGTTCAGAAATGATCTAAATACATAAGAATCTAAAAGTTTTAAATAAATTTGTCCTACTGACTGTCTAGATGACTGAATTTTCCATCTCAAAAAATTTTTAAACACCCACTTTCGTATTTATTTATTCTAAGCGCAAAGCAGCTGTGATAATTATGCTGTCAGATTCAGTAAGCTAATGAGGAGTCACCAGAGTGGAAAGGCTTGCATTTGTGAGATTGCTGGAAAGCAGTTCTATAGCTTTTGCCTGCTGCCTGCCTGCTTTCTCTCTCTGCCTCCCTTCTTTTTTCTCTTTCTTATTTTCTTTCTTTCCTTCTTCCTTCCTTCCTCTTTCTTTCCTTCTTTCCCTTCCTTCCTTCCTTCCTTCCTTCCTTCCTTCCTTCCTTCCTTCCTTCCTTCCTTCCTTCCTTCTTTCCTCTCTCTCTTTCTCTCTTTTTCTTTCTTTCTCCCCCTCCCTCTTTTTCTTCTTGTTTTTCTGTGAGCTGGGAAAGAGAATTTTACAGTCCACAGCTAAACTGAAATTCTTTTGACTAACTGGCTTTCTCTCTCTCTCTCTCTCTCTCTCTCTCTCTCTCTCTCTCTCTCTCTCTCCCTCTCTCTCTCTCTCTCTCTCTCTCTCTCTCTCTCTCTCTCTCTCTCCTCCTTTCCTTCTTCCTTCTTTCACCTCCTTTCCCTTCCTTCCTTCCCCCTGCTTTTGAGGGGCAAGAAGGCCTGAGGGAAATTCTGGCTTTTCCTGTTACTGTCCCCAGGGTCAGAGGAGGTTTCTCCCTGAGAGGAGCTCCTAAGACAGTTTGGTTTTAGTCATCTGTAAAGTATACACACTGTTTATTTTAGCTGTTGAACTGTTTATGCTATGATGTGAGCTAAAAGAAAGTAGAATGCAAAAGTGCATATTATAACGTCCCTGTGAAAATGTCTTATGCATATCAACAAGATTTGAGGTCTCCCCTTTCTAGCTTTTATAATTCCAAGCCAAAGACGTGAAAGCCACAGATTATTTACAGTATCAAAGCAGAGTGCAGTCCAAGTGAGGCAGGCCCAGCATTGCAGGTTTATTTCTTTCTTTGGGTGTGAGCAGCTTCCAGCAAACAATAACATTAAGGAGTTTTATGATTTTGGTGTGGTAAACATGGAAATTTCTCTCTTTGTAAAACAGGGGATATTTTTGAGCAACTCAAATTCATGTGGCCTGTAAATCTTGCAAAAGAAGTGCCCAAGTGAAAAGACATCCTCAGGAAAATGTGTGTGGGGGTGTGGGGGTGGGTATGTGTGTACATGTATATGTATGTGTGTGTGCGTGCACGTGTGTGTACTTTGGTGACCCACATGGTTCCTATCCTTTGCTGGTTTTTTCCAGATGATATCTTATGACAGTGGCTACTCTTTGTTGAAAACATACTGCATTTAAGGAAAATACACATACATTTATCTCTTTAAACTTACAGCGGTCTGCCAGGAAATTTATTCCTCCACCTCACGTTCTCCCCACTTCACCATTGAACTCCATTTTAACCTCTAAAGAACCTGACTCATAGCTGTAGCTTAGTGAGCACTTAGAAACAGCAGACCCCTAATGATTCCCCTAGTCATTTATGGAAATGCAAACTGCAGGGGTGCTCAATTAACTAAATACAGATTTCCTGAATTTAAGATTTTTTTCTTTACATTATGAGAGTGAGAAAGCCATATACATTCAACAGAAATCCTAGTGTGGACCCTTCATTCCTGAGGGTTCTGTGCCCCTGACTTCTATCAATGTCATATTTACCAACCAGTCAGAAAAAAATTGTATCTGTACTGAACATGAACAGACTTTTATCTCAACATTATTTCTGAAGCAATGCACTATAACAACTACTTATCTAGCATGTACATTGTGTCAGGTATAATCATCTAGAACTGGTTTAAAGTCTAGAGGGGGATATGTATAGGTTAGAGGCAAATATGGTGCCATTTTAAATGAGAGACAAGAGCATTGTTAGGTGTGAGTATCTGCAGTATCCTGGAAGCAGGGATCAGAGGATAACTGGACTTTAAATTTTGAAATTTTATCTTTTTAGGAGATGGTGGCATTCTTACTCCATTCTGGGCAGGGGCAAAGAGCCACACCTCCCAATTACTCAATCACTAGGAAACATCCAATAGTCTACCATGTACTATGTTGCCAAGTTATTATGTTCAATAAGTTAGGTTAAGTGTGTTAAGTGCATTTTTTAATGCTGAAATTGAATTCAGGGATTTGCCATAATAGATTTATCAGTAAGTTGAGGACTATCTGTACATGTGTAAGGGTGAAAGTTGTGTGTGTGTGCACAGATGTGTATGTTCTAAATAATGTTTTTAGTTTATAAAATTCACCTACAGTGTGTATTTCTGAATTTATAAAATTTACCTAGAGTGTATATAGTTAAATAGATTGCCTAATACATGAAACAGAACTTAAAACTTTCTAAAATACATAGCCAGCCTGATGCTTGATGTGTCTCCTTGTTGGGACTAGAGTCCAGTCTTGTTGGTATGACATTCACTTCCTTCAATGTGCCTCCCAAACCTTTCCAACATTAGCCTCCAGTCTCCACTTGGCAAATATGGATTGAACTGAATTCAATAGGAAACACTTGACAACTATTAGCAGAGTCAGCAAGATGAGTCAGTATAAACAGTAAATAAGTCTGCCCCTGTTGATGTCTCTTCGGGTAACATTTGTTGGGAAAGAACCCAGGGAATAATATGTTGGTGCTTTTCTCTTTCCCTTCCTACAGAAGAGTCTTTGTTCACAGTTTCAGGAGTGAGGCTAAAGCCAGAAATGTGTGACCTTTTGGCCTCCTACAGGAAGGGTCACCTCCCAACCCGGCTTAGCAAATGCTGGTAAGAAGAAAGCGCGAGGCCACCAAGGTCTTTCCAGGTAAGCGATCCCACCAGTCCTGCTCTTGATGGACAGAACTGAAAGTCAATCACTACCAGGTGGACAGGTCACTGTTTACCAATTGAGAGCACCTCTGCTCTGGATCTAGCTCTTTATCCCCAACTGTAGGAAGCCTAGTCTGACTACTTAGACCTTCATTCCTAAGCTGTGTATTTGCTGTTTACCCCTCTACACATGATGAGACCTTCCACTGATGAATGGATGCTGCTTTCTCTTAGCCAGATAGATCTCTGTGTCAGCTGACAAGAGTAAATCAGAGGTGACCCACATCCCAGTTGCCTAAGACTGATGTCAGTCCTTCCATTCAAAAATTGCCACAGTCCCCAGTAAACTGAGATATTTGGTCACCTTAGTGGTATAAATTATCCTCTAAGGTAATCTTGAGAGGAAGGGGTACTGTGGAGCATCTCCCCAAAGCTACCACACACTAAAAGAAGTTCTGCTAATAGGCACAGAAAACCAGGTAGGACAATGCCAAAAAACACCACAGTACAGAAGCCTCTAGAAGAATAGGAAGGACAATACTCTGTATAGAGGAATCACAGTGGTGCTCCTGTTCAGGGCCAACCAGCTTTTCTGGGGACACTTGCCATATCTCAAACCACAAGCATGATATTTACTACGTTTTTGACAAACACACATTGTCCATGCTCCCTAACAGAATTCTGAGGCCTAAATGGTAACCATTGGCACATGCTATGTGTGCAGTCCCATGTCACTCACAGGGCAAGACTCAGCTCTTTGCCATTTTCTCTTGGATCTCTGTCACCGTTTAAAAGCAAATAGATATCAAGGATGTCTGCCTTCTGGCTCTTCAACAACGATCTTGTTTTCAAAGAACAGGGAAGTTGAGACATCGCTGTTCCCTAGAGCATTTTTATGAAATACATGTTTGTATTTTGACAATAAATAATTGGAATTACTAACTGGCAGTACAATTACATGATAGTCTTCAGGTCAAATATATTCTAGAGTAGTTTTTGCTGTTTCCTTACAGGATGAATTTTATCTGCAGTCTCCAAATGTGGAGGGTTTACCCTTCATAAAATTATCAAAGACACTAATGAAAATGGTCTCTGATATGGGCGCCTTTTAAGCATTATCGTTATTTCTATTGTTGTTATTATAGATTTTGTCCTATATACACAGCCAGAAGGGAGAGAAAGAGATAATGCTGCTTTTCTGATGTACATACAGTTTCTTTCACAAAGAACTATTACCTGTAGACATAAATTGGTCACAGTAGAAAATCAATTAAATGCAGCTAGTCAAGCCTGGTGCCTGTGCCAGCAATTGAAGAAGGGAGGAGGCAGATTTAGCCTCTATTGGAGTAATCTTGTGATGTCCCTGAGGCCTCAGAACTAAGGTAAGGAGATAAAACCTGTAGGAGATGAACCACAGAGGGAGAAGTTAGAGCAATTAAACTGTTTAATAAATGGCTTAGGATCCACAAACTCTAACAGTGCTGAAGTTGAAGAGACTAAAAGCTGTAATCACATGGACACTGGGGGCCTGTAAATCTTTTGCACTGAATTGAATTTATGTTAAAATATTCACTTTTTAGGAGAGTCAGAATGTAAATTGGGGCATTAGGACTTGGTAACTGGCAGCAATTCCTCAAAATTAAGACTCTTGATACATCTTCAAAATGTCAGTGTTAGGCACGAAAAAAAAAATGTATGCTGATGTCTACAACAGAGAAATGAAGAGGAACTAAAGTTTACTGGGTGCTGCCACATGTTGGGTACTATACTGGTGTTTTCCCCAGGTTATTTCAAAGCTTGGTGTATTTCAAACAATGGGTTGCGGTGAGTTAGAATTTCAGTTGTGACCCCTGAGATAGGTTTTGATCTTTTTTTTTTTTTTGTCCATTGTAGAGCTTGAACTCAGGGTGTGGGAATGGTCCCTGGGTTCTTTTTTTGCTCAAGGCTAGCGCTCTACCACTTTGAGCCACAGTTCTACTTCTGGTTTTCCAGTTTTCTAGAGAGAAAAGTCTCATGGATTTTCCTGTCCAAGCTGGCTTTGAACCTCCGTCTTCAGATCTCAGCCTCCTGAGTAGCTAGGATTACAGGCGTGAGCCCCCAGTGCCCCGGCTGGTTTTGGTCTTTTTTTTTTTTTTTTTTTGGTCGGTCGTAGGGCTTGAACTCTGGGCTTGTGTGCTGTCCCTATGCTCTTCAGCTCAAGGCGAACCTCTACCACTTGAACCACAGCACCACTTCCAGTTTTCAAGTGGTTTATTGGAGTTAAGAGTCTCACTTTCCTGCCCGGGCTGGCTTTGAATCTTGATCATCAGATCTCAGCCTCCTGAGTAGCTAGGATTACAGGCATGAGCCACCAGCACCTGGCTTTGGTTTTGCTCATTTTTAAAACTTCTTTGTTCTTATTAACAGGTCTACGATATTATATCTTCTATACTTTATTGTCACTTTTTCCTTTATTTAACGCTCAATCCATTAGGTTTTTCTTACAACGCTATACTCTACTGTTCATTATTTTTATTTTGTTTATTCCTCATTTTCTTTCAGGGCTAAATTCAGACTATTTCTGTTTTATTTGCTTACTAAGAAACCTCAAATCTAATTCTATACTGGACCAGGGGTTTAACATCATCACCTATGTCCTGGAATGTTTTAGATATGATGCTCAAGCACATAATACCTAAAAATAAAGCAGTGGAATTGCTATTCTCATTGTCTAGAATTTGATGCTGATTGGATTCAAAAGTGAACACAGACTAAGAGTCTAAGAAGACTTCAAAACAGCTCCAATTATTTTGATCCATCCTTAGGTCACAAGGTTGATTTTCCAAGATAAGAGGCAGGAGACAGACAATTGAGAGAACTTGGAAACCGAGCGGGTGCTTACAGAAGCCTGTCACTTTTGTATTTATTTACAATTTACCCTCAACAACAACAACAACAACAACAACAAAACAGTGTGGCAAGGAGAGGATTAAAGTTTAGACATCTCCAGGGAAGATGATCTCTTAGATAACGTTGCAACACAAGGACTTGTTAAAGACTACTTGTTATCATTTCCTGGGAGAGTGCGCTGCTTCTTCACTCACTCACTGGACTATGGGAATGTTACCACCCCCACCCCACTCAGATTTTAGGAGTTTGAATTGAGCTGCTGGTTAGAACTGAATTTCAGGTTATCTCCTTCTATTTCACCCTTGTGGTTCAGGGTGATGGCAAAAGTAATAAGCCAGCTGATGGTGCGATAAAAGAGTATCTACAAAGATGCGATTCAGGCCTTGTAGAGCCATCAGACATGCATGCACACACACATATACCCCTCAAGTAAGAGGAGATCTGCCTGTGCCAATACACCGTTTCCTACAATGACTCCTTCTAAAACAAGCCAGGGAAACTCAAATTACTTCACCGGGGTATCATCTCAGGAAATATCGGAGCCTTGAAACCAGAGACCTCTATGTCTCCTTTTGAAGAGCAAGGGAAAACCAATTAAGAGAGAATTAAAAAATGGTAACTGTCTCCCAGTATCTGAGGTGGGAGAGGAAACATGCATAGCTAGACCAAAGAAATCTGCCTTCATGAGCATTAAGTAAGACATTGGACAAAGCTTGCCCAGATGTACCTGACATGTGAAGTGGTATGGGCTGGATGATGGGACAGACAGGTGCTGGACTCAGAGAACAATGGTTATTCATTCAACCTAGCGGAAGGCCAGTAGTGATGTGGTAAAGGGCTCATACTTGAGTCTTGCCCTAGTCGAATATTTATGAATTACTTGAATAAAATCAGAGAATGCACTTACAACTTAGAATACAACTCATTGAAATAATACTATTATCATAGTTTATTTATTATTTTCATTTTATGAAAGATGAAACTGAGGCTCAGTGACGTTAACTCCTCCATAGTCCGTAGGATGCCAGAGTTCAGATGCAGACCTCAGGCCTGGCTGTCTCAGTATCTCTGATTTTTCTATTATCCACAGGCTTATCAGATCTGTAGAATATGCAACACTTTTAGCTTCTCTGTAGCACATGATTCAGAGGACTAAGAGCTAATGAGTAACAATCCAAAGCAATATTTATTCCTATCAAATTTTATCTGATTTTAATTTCTATTCTATGTTGGTTTTTAAATGCCTACAACTTAAGTAAGGCTATGACTTAGTGGAAAATGGCACTTTGAAGTACAATGTGAATTAATGGTATAATCTGGCTGCCTCCAACAGATAGTGCTAATGCTTTTAGTCCACATAAATGAAGGGCTAAGATGTTGTCCTAAGAAAAGGAAATAGCCTCCCCTCTATGGATCGGACCATATTTAAGTTATTATGTTCAACTCCACGCATTCCATTTTAAATGTCATATTGAAATATTTATTGTGCACCTATTAGTTTGCAGACCTAATCCTGAGTAATCCTCTTTATAATGCTAAGATTTCAGTGCAGTTGGTTGCCATTTTACAAAGAAGATTAAGAATCAAATATAAGTAGCTAGGGTTTGATGTACAAACTCTATTCCCAAAGCCTGTGCTTTCCCCAGCCCACCTCCAACTCTGGGCATGCTCCAGGGAAGGTTATAGGGGAAAAGAGAAGCATGGGGCCAAGCTATCGGTAGGGAAGGTTAACTACAAAAAAGAAAACTCAGGGCTAGAGAAATTCCATCTAGGGGATTCAAAGCAAGTGTCTAGTGTGCTCAAAAGGGTAGCCACAGAATTAGGACAGATGAAAAGCTCAAGCATGCTACTTAAGTGATGTAGCAGGAAGAGTCTGTAGAGTTGTGCCTGTTCACATGTTCCCACAAATAAAAAAGGGGTGAACTTCCGCTGCACTCACCCCCAAGACATGAAGACCAGTAGAAGGGATTTCCATAGCAGAGGTAAGAACTGCTGACCACCAACATTCTCTGATAATAACTCTTCAACAACTGTGAATAGACCATGTTTGGAATTTTGGTAAGACTGTGTCAT